TGCAAGAGGTAATAGACACATATACGTCTCACACTTAAAGATTACTTGGCCTGCATGCTCTGAAGATTCTAATATGCCAGGGGTCAGTAAATGGCAGAATGCGGTCCGTACATGTGCCGAGTGGCGGTTCTGTCTGGACCATGATTGCTGACCCATACTGGGTTATGGCTTTTTGAGGCCGTTGTTTCCACTGCCAGTCCTAACCCAGTGCAGGCCCCCTCTCCGCTTCAGTCATTGGTTGCTAGGAGCGCTGGCATCCTAGCAACCGATAACATCAGGCAGGGCCGGCTGCTACAACTATAAGTGATCTGGGCAACTGTACAGACATCCACATTAATTGTGTTAGCAGGCTGTTGTGCCCCACCTCCCTGCACCCCCTTTGCCATGGTTTTCACATTCCTCGATATGCTCTGTGATCACGGAAGCATGAAGCGCTGCTCTCCGCACTTCCTGTATCAGAACTGTCAGAAGCTGGCTGAAGTGCTGGGTATACAGACTATCAAGCACAATCCTGTTCTTGATTATCTGTATTGGAGGGCAGGAGAGACATCAGAGGTCTGATAGACCCCTGATGTCTCCATGGAGAGAATCTGTCACCTCCAAATGGTGTCACATGGAGGGGGGGATGACGACTTCTAACAAAAAAATAAACAGTGCCATACGCAGTGATCGCACATCAGCACTGTACCATGGAACACACACCAGCAGCTGTGGATTTACAGTGCAGAACTGAGTGACCGTTCTGTCTGGACCGCGATTCGGACCTCGGCTCAATGAGAATTTTACTCACTGGAGCCCCTTGAGTTTGAATTCACTACCCCTGTTATATACAGTATATCTGATGCTAGGTCCTATTAATGGTTAATTTGCAATATTTTGTTAAGAATTAGGGGGTTGATTGTATGGGTTACATGTAAGGGTAGATTAGGCATTCAGATTGTTGGAGGAAGATGTTAAAGGTTGGGGTGACAAGTGTTTGAAGTAGGTAATACTTGAAAGCAGGGCTGTAGCTACCATGGGGCGAGTGAGGCACTCGCCTCAGGCGCAGCTGAGAGGGGGCGTAGCCAGGGCCAGCCTGGCTGCGCCCCCTCGCCCCTGTTGCCATGGCGAGCACAGGGCAGGAAGGGTGGGGGTGTTTATACTTCAATGTGCATTTGCATTCAGTACTAAGACTGTTGGAAACTCACATACAACCACATTGCTGCATCTTAGGAAACAATGTTGGGATCGTCAGGGGATATTTATGTCAGGTGAAGGCAAGATTGTCGGAGGATTGTTTCCTATGAGCAAATCCTAGAGCAGTGATTCTCAAACTCTGGGTCGCCATGTGCTTTCTGCAGCACTAGGTGAGAGGCTCCTCAGCCTCCTGCTAGCGCAGCAGTGTTAGTTCTCCCCCTGCACCGCCAGATGTCACTGCAGCAGCTGTGGCCAGGGGGACGCAGGCGAGTGTTTTTTTTCTACATTTAGCCCTGCTTCGTGCAACCAAGGCTAAATGTGTAGCGGGGGAGCCAGTTAAGTGATTTTGGCAGCTGTACAGCCGCCTACATCACTTGTAATTAGCCTGCTGCTCTGTCCCAGCCCCCCCCCACTCCACTCAATGGTCCGTCCCACTTAGCTGGCCGCCTCCCTCCCAGCCTGCTGCCCCCCGTCTGGGTTTTTGGTCCCCCCGCTCTTCTGGGGGACCCAGGAACACAGCAAATTACTTCAGGATGGAGAGCGGGGAGCAGACCGGAGAACTTCTGTGTCTCCTGTGTGATAGCAATAAAGTTAAGTGAAAAATAAGTAAAAAATAAAATACATAAAAAAATTTAATTGCTAAAAAAAAATGTTACCAAGGGGTCCCATCCTTAGAATTGTTGTGAACCACTGTCTTAGAAGGATTGAAGGGAATAGAAGGGATTGTTCCTTCTATTATATTTTGGTATCATATGTGTTTTTTCCTGCATGGTAAATGTCTTATTCTTCATAATCTTTACTGTTTGGTGTGTTTCTGTTATAATTTGCATTGTTACACCTTGCTGTGTGTTAATCATTTTTCATGAGTCTGAGTACTTCACAGAGAAAAAAAAAGAATGAATTCTGCACTGCTGGCCAGTAACTTAACAAATCAGATAATAGACCGCGAGCATCAAGAGAGAATTTCCAGGGACAATTAAAAATTGGCACTGTCTCTGCAAATCAGTGACAGTTGGCAATTCCTCGACACTATTCATTTGTGCCGCAGTGCAACAGTGAACAGAGCAAGCCTTGTTACAAGGTCTGTCTAGAGATGTGTTATATAGTACAGTCGACCTCACATTAACAAAATCTATCCTGACACTATAATCTACATCACCCACTCAGCTTTGTGAGGGGTGTAAGATTTTGGTGTAAAGAACTTGGCTCTGCTGACTTTATAGTGCTTATTAGGTCCCGAATGAGGCATCAAAAATATCACGCAGTCCTTTCAATAGCAGGTTCAATTGGGAGGAAACCATTTTACAAAAAGCTCTACATGAAGATAGTTCAATTCATTGCATAGGAATTGTTCATATCAGTGCTTTCAAGGCCTTATGATAGATGGAAGTCGATGAATAAAAGAGCTCCCCATCTCATTTCCCTAACAAGTTATACAAGCACTTTGCCTAGGACCAGTTGTCCTATCATTGTGTGCATGGAGTATTGCAGAGGTTTGGGGATCACAATAATAATCATATTTAGTAGCTGCCATGATGCTCATCTAATGCCATTGTGTTGAAAATGTGTCCACATGGTTAAGATTGCTTAAAGTGACACTAAACTCAGGAGTTAAACCTTAAAAATGCATTCAAGTAGCTTAACTATTAACAAAAATGTATCTTATTTGTGTGTCACTCGGCTGTAGATCCTCCAATCATCTCTGAATTGGTGCTGACACTGTCCTTCCTTCTGGAGGGTGACTACTTTTGGTCCCTGTGTGTGTTGTAAAGTAGCCACCACTCCAAGCAGAGTGGATGCAGAGGGTGCAGGTTTGAGCAGAATAGGAAGAGGGATTCAGAGGTGAGCAGTGTAGGAAGAGGTATGCAGGGGTACAGAGGTAAACAGAGTAAGAAGAGGGATGCAGGGGGTGCAGAGGTGAGCAAAAAGGAAGAGGGGTGCAGTGGTGAGTACAGTAGGAAGAGGGATGCAGGGGGTGCAGAGGTGAGCAGAGTAGGAACAGGGATGCAGCGGTGAGCAGAGTAGGAACAGGGATGAGGGGGTGCAGAGGTGAGCAGAATAGTAAGAGGGGTACAGAGGTGAGCAGAATAGTAAGAGGGGTACAAGGGTGAGCAGTGTCGGAAGAGGAATGCAGGAGACACAGAGGTGAGCAGAATTGGAAGAGGGGTGCAGAGGTGAACAAAGTAAGATGAGGAATGCGGGGTGCAGAGGTGAGCAGTGTAGGAACAGGTATGCAAGGGGTGCAGAGGTGAGCAGTTTTAAAAGAGGGTTGCAGGGGTAACCATTGTTGGAAAAGGGGGGCAGGGGTGAACCTCGGTGCTGGGGGTATGTGCTCGTGGTGTCTTGGAAGCTGGTTGTCAGACTGTTGGGAGACACCAGTGTCAACTCTACATCTGCAGTAGTGGCGATCACACAAAATCAAGAAGTGGCACAGAGACCTGGGGAGTCAGCGGTAGCATGGGTGAGTGGAGGAGACCTGCACTCAAGGACACACGTAGCATGGCATGCGATGAACCGATGTGTTACCTGCCTAGTGTCTGCTATATATGTCTATCAATCTCCCTACCTCATAATGATAGCATAACTGCAAGGTAGATCAAAAGACATACATGGCAGGCAAAAAAAAGTGTATGATCATACAATAAATGTATGGGAATATATATTTTACATTCCCATGCGTTTATTATATAAATAAAAATAATTCAGTCATAATGTGCTAATATGCTGTATATACCAGCACATTATGCCAATGACCTCCAGAGCTCTATTTTTTTGAATAACCACTTTACTTGGGTTTTGGAAGAAAACTACTGGGCCTTGGTCTCACTAAGGGTTAGAACCTCTACTCTATTCCTCCTGCACGTTAGAGCGCAATGCAGCGTCTCACTGTGCGCTACTTAGTCAGGACGGGGGCCCTGTCAGGTAGGGTATAGTGGGCACCAAGATTTCTAATGGCGGTCCTAACTTTACAACACACACAGGGACCATGGAGAACAAAAGTAGCCCCCCTCCAGAAGGAAGGACAGTGTCAGCACCAATTCAGAGAGGATTTGAGGATCTAGAACTGAGTCATACACAAATAAGATACATTTTTGTTAATAGTTAAGCTACTTGAATGCATTTTTAAGGTTTAACTCCTGAATTTAGTGTCACTTTGCTTATTTGTTTTTATATAGCTTTATGCCAACATTACATAATGTGTGCAACTGGTATAGTTGGCCTATGCCTTCCAGCAGCTAAGCAGCAGCAACCACCCAAAATCCCCTTCTGGCAGCATGCTGAGTACTTAGCTGTTCTTAAACAAAACTAAAAAAAAGAACGCACAGACCTAGTGCATTGCACTAGGCTGGTGCGCTCTTTGTTCTTGTTTTGTTTTTTAATCAAGGAATCCGTGCGCTCTTTGTTCTTGTTTTGTTTTTTAATCAAGGAATCCGTGCGCTCTTTGTTCTTGTTTTTTTAATTTTTATTTAAGGTATCCTCTCCTTTACTTTAGCTGCAAGACAGTACTCTTTCCCCCTTCCCTCACATTTTCTCTACTAACCGGAACCTCTGAACCCTTGGTCATATTGACTCTACACCCAGGGTTTGAAGCACCAGGGTCTTCTTCTTCTGTTTTCAGCTGTTCCTTAGGAGTTCAAGAGTACTGGTTGCTCATGCTTATTGTAGCTCTTGTTCGTTCAGAGATGGTCATGTTGATCATTCCTGTGCTTTTCTACTATTTTTGCTTCTAACACACTTCTCCCTAATGTCTGCCTCTAACATTTCCTTTGCAATTAACATCTCCCCCTTTTTGTCTTTTGGCCACATTGCTGCATTCTCTCCAGAGTAACAACAATGACCATGGAGCTATGTCGGTGAGTAATTGTCAACTAATAAACTAACCATGTAAATGTTATGGATGTATTTGTTGTTGGCGACTTGGGGTCTTATTAGTGTAAAAGAAGAGCTTTATTGTGTACATAATACTTACACTGTGGTCTGTGTGGTTGACAGGAGACTCACATACTGGAATGCTGGGAAGCGGAATTAAAATCCCACTATGTCAATAAAGTTGTCAGGAAAGATACGACTACATTCTTGAAAATAATTCAGTACCACGTGTAACCATTAGATGGCAGTACAGAGTTCTTCCTATTAGTATACAGAAGTGTATAATGTCTATAGGTCTGTATTAGGACAGGATCAGCCTGATGCTATAGGTCTTGGGTCTTTTAGAGTTTTCGTTTTTTTTTTTTTTTTTAAATAACATTTTTACATTCATTGTTTAGCTACAAACTGATAAAAAGATTTTTTTTAGTTCTTCTAAATAAATTGGAAATAGTAATTTCTTTCTGCCCAGGTTCACTCGTCAATAGACATTTCAGAGCTTGCTGCCAACAGAACAAAGGTTAGCAACTATTCTAACGACTTATCTCAGTTTAATCGGCTGTGTGGTGGCGCCACTAACACTTGCCGCTGTTAATTATTTATATCATAAATTATTCTCCTTGTTGCTTGTAAGAATGGGGGAACCTAACACTTGGGCAGTATGATATGTAACAAAACCGGTCATGTATACATTTGATTAGGTCTGTGATATCTAGACTTCATGCCCCAGTGCTGATCATCTAGGGAACAATAGAAATGTTTGTACGACAGCTACATGAAATCTACCTTATGTGATCAGATATTCTGTTTTCATAGAAACATTAGAAAGGAGGAAAGCCATTAGTTTCACATACACAGTCTGAATATTGGCAAATTAGATCTAAAACCTCTAATCAGCATATCTCCTGCCCCATTTATGGGCAATCAAAGAAGACCTGAACGGTGGAAGTTGTGCCTAAAACAGCAGCGGGTAAAGGACTAGTCATCAGTATTGCCAGTAGGCTCTCTGCAGCTGATCATTTCCTAATGATGACTTTCTATGCCTTGCTTTGTACTGTGTCTCTATGTGAAGGTGGCCATCTTTTTAGAGGGGCAGGACGTTTCTTCCTTATGTCAGGGTTGTCTTCCTTGATGACTGGTGATCTAATGATTGGTGGAGGAATAGTCAAACAGCAGCAGGAGAATGGCACAAACATAGAACCACAGAAATGAATGAAGCAGATGCATTGAGATCCTTGCACTGTGGATCCTCTGGCATGGCTTGCTCTCTCTCCAGCAAGGAGAACAGTGAGCAGCACAATAGTGACATTGCCAAATCTCTCTACAAATCTCATGAGCCTATCAGTCAGTGACAGCAGTGCCCTAGGCCTCAACCTGCAGATGTAGAGTTATAAGGCTCAAGGCATCGGAAAAGCACTGATATTTTCGGGAGAAATTCAAGGCAAACGGTCCATTTTTCAGGTTACTGCTTAAGCACAATTAACATTTCTGGGTGTTCTCTTTAAAATAGCAAATCTTCACTTTTCGATTTATGGTCTACTTTAAAACACGTCAAACTTTCACAAACTCAGGTCAGAAATGAACTGGTTCACCTTTATTTGCTGTCTTGGGCCTCATATATCAAAGTATCTGAAAGTACCTACAGTATGTGTAACAACGAATCGGATTATTCCTTTCTTTTTATGAGCAGCACTGAAAAAATTACTTTTGGGTGGTTGAGGCCTTCTGTTTCCTAGGATGTTCTTCCGTCATCCAGCAGGCAGTCCCATCTCTGTAAAGGCAGCAAGACCCCTTTCACACGGGTGCCTGTAAGTTCTGATCAGCTGGTGATTCATGCACGGATCCCCTGCTGATAGGAGCAGTATGGATGGGATATCACATCTGTGACATCTGTTTCTGTCCATTTTTTCCCCGCTTGCAATGGAATGTCAAAATTGAACTTACCCAACCCACTTTAGGTCTATGAGGAGTCTGATGTAAACAGGCATGTGTCCGTTTACATTAAATTACCCCTGATCAATCACGATTAGGTCCAGCAGAATGGAACTCTGCTCTGTTTGGTTTTCTGGACCTGGCTGGAGTCGGGAGTAATCGGATCGATACAGACGCACGTCTGTTAAGATCTAGCTGCCCATAGAGTAGCATTGGGCTTCCGATCAGATCTGCCCGAACAATTGATAGTAGGGCCTGATCAAACTGCCTGTCTGATAGGGACCTAAAACATGCAAAATTCATATGCCAGCTTGTTATTTTTACTCGTGTAGCTCTAACTCACAACAGATTATTTTTTTCTCAAGGCCGCTCTTTTCCTCCAGACATGAATATGGAAGCTTAGCCTTTTCTCTGGGATGGGATTAATTTGCCAGGAATACAGTAAATGTCACCAGAGTCGAGAATGAATTATGTGGAATACAATGACCTTTCTCTAGCCAAGCTAAGAGTGGGGTGTTTGCTTGTGCTCCGGCTCAGGTTTAATATTATGCACTGATGAGAATGTGATAAAGCCACGCATACATATTTTAAGCAGGAGCAGAATGAATTACTGGCACGGGGAATCTTGTCATTACAAATCTCCACTTGCCTCTCTGCGGTTTGTCTAATCTTTCAGAGGCTCACATAAGAACTTTGCGGATATTCCAACCTAATCATAATCTTTTATTTGCCGAGAACAATATTATCCAGACGTTAGGTGTAACCCCTGTACTGCCCACCACGCCAGCTAAGATTCAAAGCTTCAGGGATGACATAGCTTTGATAGAAGGGTTAAAAGTTTCTATTGCCAGTATTCCCATATTGGAAAGCCTTATAGCTCCTTATCAGTGCGAATAAAAATGACTTTGTATTCTGCTCCTTGCAGATTTGCCAAGAGCAACATATCCCAGGTTCATGTCGCCCCCGACCGCAAGGCTGTTTGTCAGCATGTGTCTCCAATTTGATTTATATTTAAAGCTGCCATGATTTCAGTGTAGTGTTTCTGTATTATGTTCTGCCAGAACAGAAGATAAAGCCATGCTGGTGTTCACTACACATGAACTGTCATCAGACCATTTACACATGTCGATTGCACACTGCTATTGACCTCTTTCTAAAAACAATTATATATACTTTTGTTCTGGTCTGATTGCTCTTTATCTTGTTGCAGCCTGTAGCAAGTGACTTAACGTCCTTGTTTAACAAGGACAGTCTGATGTAGAATATGAATGATATGCTAGTCTTCAAAGTGATTGAAGCTCTCCACCGAAGCAGTCATTGACAAACATTGCAGTCTTCGGTTCAAGACTTACATAGTTCTCATTTAATGCTGCACTCCGAATATACAGTTGAAATATTTATATGAAATGTTTTACTGTTCAGCCAGTTTAGTGATCCAAGCAACCTTGCTGTAATGCAACTGTAATACTTAGTCTTTAACAGATCTCAGCTGCGGACAGAGCTGCTACTATGGCTACTTACAGGGGAAGGATGAGATGGTGACCCCTGGATAATAATAGGTAGGAGGTGATCGTTTTAGCAGTCCAATGTTAGGAGGAATTTAAGTGAGCTGGTAGTCTGTATTACTTTATACAGACTTTTGCGGAATATTAACAGAATGAGACCAGCTAAAAAACAAATGTCCCGTCTGAAAGAAAGGAGATCATTAGTCCTTTAGAGCTATGCTCAGTAATTTTCCAGTAGGTTGTTACTTGCCAGTAATGCTGCAACCTCCAGTTAGCATGCTAAGTAACATTTAACCACAGTAATGTTTAGTAAAGCAGAGTCTGCGAGTTAATGCAAATAAATGCCTGTACTTGTGGTTAGCTGCATCAGGTGTTCTCAGTGGCATAAGTGGAAGGAATGATAGTCCATGCAGAGAGCACAAGGATGGTGTTGCTGTTGTTCCTGTGTGTGGAACTCATGCAGAGTGCACAGAAGAAAATACTGTGGCTTTAAGTGGACTGGGAATCCCACAGCATGCACAGGCAGGGTGAGCTTACTTCCCCTGATCCAGGATGGCACATGGATAGGTGAGTACTCTTTACATGTATATCCAGGATGGCAAGTGTGGGAAGAAGAGTGCAATTGCTTATTTTCTGGATGGACAGTGGTGTAGCTGCAGCAGTGGAAATGATCAGCATCAGCTGTATTTTTTGAATGCTGAGGATTTCAAACATCCCGGCTATAAGCTCAGAGTCGGCTTAGAGAGGAGGAGCAGAGTGATGCTGAGGGAGAACAATTTGAGGTTAGGCGGCGCTGGACTCTGTTCCTGGAACTAGTACTGGGTACGTTTCTTACACTTGCCAGACCAGTGAGCCAAGTCCTGGAGATCTTTCCAGACTACACAGCAGTCAGGCAATACAGACTATTCCAGGGACCACCAACTTGTGATTGGACAGTGAAGAAGTATCAGTTCACTAATGAGGTCATCGAGTAATCTCTGTCCACCAATAGATGTCCTCAGTCTTCTGGGTTGAACGACACTGGGTAGTATTGACCTTAAGGAGGTGTCTTCACATTGCTCTGTACTCACAGTGTAATGTTATAGAGAGTGACACTGATGTCATATCGTCAGCACAGCTCTATGCATTGAGGACCACCTAGCATTGGAAAGAACCTTGTGCATCTTGTGACCCGCCTGAAGACTTCTTGCTGGTCACATGTTGCACAGGATTCTCATCACCACTATTATATATTTTGTATCAATTGTTCTATGGAAGTGGAGTTTACCTTCATGCTAAGTTCCTGGCTCAGGGAAAATTAATTTTTCTGTGCATATGAATGATTCCTTTTTTTGTGGTTTTATTCTAGGGCACTGTTAATAGCCTCTGTTAGCTGACTACATAAAACAATGGTTTATATACACTGCCTGGCCAAAATCACACTCTAATATTTCTTGGACCGCCTTTAGCTTTGATAATAGCACGCATTCGCGGTGGCGTTTCGATACGTTTATGCAATGTCACAACATTTATTTCCATCCACAGTTGCATTCATGTTTCACCAAGATCTT